ATGAATCTAATATTCAGTATTGTCTCAATGGGGTCACTGCATTTTTCTGTTCTCTAAACTGGTTTATGACAGTAACAGTTGTATTTCTTTCATGTGTCTGCACGTGTATGTCTCTTTTATTTTTTTTGTCCCTCCCACCCTCCTGTGTATGTCTCTGATTAATACTTCCGCCATACATTTGAAATTGGTATCTACCAAATCAACTGATGTGAGGTAATAGAGAGAGATAAGAGGCACTCAATAAGTACATTATGCCGTTTACCTATAGGCTGGGCACAGTGTCTCATGCCTGTAATCCCAGCACTTTTGGAGGCTGAGGCTGGTAGATCACCTGAGGTCAGGAGTTCAAGACCGGCCTGACTGACATGGAGAAACCCTGTCTGTACTAAAAATACAAAAATGAGCCAGGCTTGGTGGTGCGTGCCTGTAATCCCAGCTAGTTGGGAGGCTGAAGCAGGAGAATGACTTGAACCCGGGAGGCGGAGGTTGCAGTGAGCTGAGATTGTGCCACTGCACTCCAGCCTGGGGGACAGAGCGAGACTATGTCTCAAAAAAAAAAAAAAAAGTTTACATATAATATTTTACTCAGGCCGGGCGCAGTGGCTCAAGCCTGTAATCCCAGCACTTTGGGAGGCCGAGGCGGGTGGATCACGAGGTCAAGAGATCGAGACCATCCTGGTCAACATGGTGAAACCCCGTCTCTACTAAAAATACAAAACATTAGCTGGGCATGGTGGTGCGTGCCTGTAATCTCAGCTACTCAGGAGGTTGAGGCAGGAGAATTGCCTGAACCCAGGAGGCGGAAGTTGCGGTAAGCCGAGATCGCGCCATTGCACTCCAGCCTGGGTAACAAGAGTGAAACTCCGTCTCAAAAAAAAACAAAACAAAAAACAAACAAACAAATAATAATATTTTACTCAAGTCTTACAAGAATCCTATTAGGTAGGTAGTAGTATCTCTATTATATTAAACAATCATTGCAACAACTACATTGGTTTAGCAGAGATGGCTATGCCATTAGAAAAGCACCTTGTCAGAAACCTTAGTATTTTGAGATTTCTCTGAGTTTCTTATTCTCTTCTACAACAAAATCGTTAACTACATTTTTTTCTAATATTGTTTCTGTGTTTATGAGTCTGTGTTTATGACCCTTGACCTATGACCCTTGACCCTACAGCAGCATGTTACTCCTAAACTCCAGGAGCTGTTTCAGGGAGTGTTTTCAAGACATGCTGGCTGGGCTCTCATTTCTAGTGCTGAGCTTGGAAGCAGTGGACTTTTAGTATCAAGTCAGGCAAGCAGGCACAAGCAAGGACTTCTGGACAAAAGGAGTTAGTGGACCCCCAAAGCTGAGGAAGCTGTACAGCGTGATCCCACTACTGTTCTGAGACCCCCCCTTTGACATTAGCAGTCTGATTGCTTGCCATTTTCTCAGAACTAATGTCAGGGAACAACATCTGACACACGATCTAGAAACAGGACCCCATTTCAAACTGTTATAAATTTCTTTCTTCATTCTTGGTTGGTATGAGAAAAATATGTAATGCGTATGGAAGAAAACATAAACTCTAAGTGAGTCTCATAATAGGAATTCCTCTGATCATGGGCATGACAATTTGCAAACCTGAGTAGGTGTTATGTTCCTCACCAACCCGGCAAACCAATTAAGTGGGTAGCTAATCTTCTGAAACATTACAGAATTTTGATTTTATCATAGACATCATATAATATTTTTTCTATTTCAAGGATCTATAGCAAGTATACCCCTTCAATTGAGAGGGGTCTGCTGTATTATTATTCATTTCAAATATATCTCTCTATACTACCTAAAGATTTTACAAGCCCAGACAACTTTATCTTACATTACACAAGATACTATGAATTACCCTGGATATATTCTGAATATATCCTGGATATAGCCCGAAGATTACTTATAAATCTCTAGTGAAGTACAAATGAACAGGTTCTCTGGAGAACTTTACAGTTTACTCATTAAATAAAAACAGGTTAATTGAAAGGCTTTAATGTCATTAGATATTCTTAGGCACCCACAATGAGATGCTGCACAGATAAAGACATTATTCTGTCCCACAGCTTGCAATCTAAAATTAGATAAACACAGGCAAGCCAGATAAACATAGACAGCACATTTTTTAAGACTAAAAAAAAAAAAAATGATGGGAGAGAAAAATGAGAGTAGTGAATCAAAACGGCAAAAGGAATCAACAAATATTTCATCTTCTGCCTTTTATTCGTAGCCTTAATTACCTCTATCACAACCAATCAGACTGCTAATGTCAAAAAGGGTGTCTCAGAACATTAGTGGGATTACCACTGTACAGTGTTCCCAGCTTTGGAGGTCCAGAAACTCCTTTTGTCTAGGAGTTCTTGCTTATCCCTGCTTGTCTCACTTTGGGTCCTAAAAGTCCACTACTTCCAGCACTAGAAAGGAGAGCCCAACCAGCATGTAACACTCTCTCAAACAGCTGGTGGTGTTTGGAGGCAACATGCCCTAGCAGGCCAAACAGTCTGGAGGTGAACACAGCCCTAGGTGCCCATGTGATCATCAGGTTGAGACCTCCCAACTAACCCGCACCCTACATGGCCAGTCTACAAGCCCTGGCTGGCCGCCTCCTTGAAGTTAGGTTTAAAAAGAAAAAATACGCTTTCAGTGTGCCAGGCTTCAGGGTAGGTGGTAGGGATGCAGATAAACATGACATAAGCCCTCTTTTGGAACTTACAACTTATTTTGGGAGATAGCTCATAAACAGACTATTTTTATGTAATGTAGTAAATGTAGTGGTGGGGTCGGGGGACAGGGGAAAAAACAAAGGAGGGGTGCCCAATCCTTCCTGGTGGTCAGGGAAGGGTTACTGCCAGAAATGAGGAGGAGTCTGAGAGTTAGGCAGAACGAGGAGAGTGTAGCCCAAACGCATCTTGGCTCACTGCAACCTCTGCCTCCTGGGTTCAAGCGATTCTCCTGCCTCAGCCTGCCCAGTAGCTGGGACTACAGGCGCAAGCCACCACGCTTGGCTAACTTTTGTAGGAGACGGAGTTTCGCTCTGTTATCAGGGAGTGCAGTGGCGCGATCTCGGCTCACTGTAACCTCCGCCTCCCAGATTCAAGCGATTCTCCTGCCTCAGCCTCCTGAGTAGCTGGGATTACAGGTGTGTAGCTGGGATTACAGGTGTGGCTAATTTTTGTATTTTTAGTAGAGACGGGGTTTCACCATGTTGACCAGGATGGTCTCGATCTCTTGACCTCGTGATCCACCCGCCTCGGCCTCCCAAAGTGCTGGGATTACAGGCTTGAGCCACCGCGCCCGGCCAGAAGCTATTTTTTGTATTTTTAGTAGAGACGGGGTTTCACCATGTTGACCAGGATGGTCTCGATCTCTTGACCTCGTGATCCACCCGCCTCGGCCTCCCACAGTGCTGAGATTACAGGCTTGAGCCACCGCGCCCGGCCAGAAGCTTAATTATTAATTAGACTTATTACTTGGAAGGCCGTCTTTTGAGATAGTTTATTTATTTATTTGAGATGGAGTCTCGCTATGTCGCCCAGGATGGAGTGTCGTGGTGCAATCCCAGTTCACTGCAACCTCCGCCTCTCCGGTTCAGGTGATTTGTTTCTCAGCTCCCGAGTAGGTGGGACTACAGGCAGGCACCACCACACCCGGCTACTTTTTGTATTTTTAGTAGAGACCGGGTTTCACCATGTTGGCCAGGCTGGTCTCAAACTCCTGACCTCAAGTGATCCGCGTGCCTCAGCCTCCCAAAGTGCTGTAATTACAGGAGTGAACCATCACATCCGGCCACATTTTATCTTCTAACAGGAGGAAAATAGTATTTATGTGGGATTACATTGGTTTATATTCTAATTAAATGAGAACAGATATAAAGTACTTATTCCACACCTAGCAATACAGTTGGCATAAAGTTTACTGAATTAAAGAATAAATTGGGCAATTATTTAACTTCTTTGAGACTGTTCCCCTAACAGTAAAATACAATTATTACTACTTGCTCCACCTCCCACACAAGATTGCTCTCGGGAACAAATGATAGTATGTTTACACGAGTGCTTTAAAAACTTAAAAGCACTTTACTACTTTCAAGTGGAATTTGTATGTTGATTTAACGTCATTCCTAGAGCCCGTATTTTTTTATGACTATCAATTCGTTAAATTTAGCATTTCTATTAAAGCCCACGACTGATGTGCAGAATTGTTTTAATCATTTATAATGACGTTGTTTCAGACTATTACCAATTTTGTCTGGTTCCAGGGCTGTGGTGCCATATAGTAATTGCAACAAACCCATACTTTCAGGAAAAAACATTCATTTTTCTCCACTTCTGGTTTCTATCGCAAAGAAACGTCTGGCAGAAGCAGCACGAATCAATGACTCTAGCCTAGCACTTTCAGAAGTGATCAAAGACCCCCAACACATCTATCTCAAAGCCACTTTGACCAACGACAACGTCCAATGTAGACACAGAGGAGGGTTTGGCTGAAAAAACAGATGAGGAGAAACCGGGGGGGGGGGGGGGGGGGGGGCCCTCCCTTCTTTCTCCCTCCCCCCACCGGGAGCTCTGCGGGGCGGTGCCGGAGTCCAGCGCGCAGGACGGTTGGGGGTCCCGCAGCGGGTGGCCAGGACCCGCGGCCAGTTGGGGTCAGCGAGCTCAGCGTCCGTTGAGGACTCCAGCTCCCAGCAGGCACCGCTTCTGAGGCCGACGCGCGTGGCGGCGCTGCCCGCTGGGACTCGTAGTGCGGTCCCGGTAGGAGAGATCTGGGAGCCACCCCGGCTCCACCTACGCACGTTTCGGAAACCGGGTCCGGAGGGGACCACGCCGGCTCACTAGTGCCCGGCGTCCCTCGGAGCGGGAGTGAGGGGAGCGGGGCCGGCCGCGGCTGGAAGAGGCCCCCGGCAGACGGGCACGTGGGAGGTGGTTAGAGCGGAGGAACCCGGAAGCCCCTTGCACCGCCCACCGCCGCGGTGAGGGGTTAACGCTCCTCTGGGTGGAGGCGGGGGCGGGCGTGGCTGGAGGCGGGCGTGGCTGGAGGCGGGGTCGTCCCAGCCGACGCCTCCGAGGACCGCCCGCGAGCCACCCTCCCCCTCCCCCACGGGCGCGACGCAGCTCGAGCTTGCTTCCCGGGCCGCGGCGCGTGCGCAAAAGCCCCGCCCATCCGTCCCGGCCCCACCCCCACACCACAGCCTCCGCCGCCGCCGCCACCTCTCCCTTCCTCTCTGCTCTTTTCTCCTCCTGTTTTCTCTTCCCTCCTCCCCCTCGTCTCCGCGTCTCCTCCTCCGCCGGCGCTGACGCTCGCGTAGGGCCCTGGCGTCAGACGCGCAGGGGCGGGGCAAGTGCAGCGGGGGGTATAAGTAGAGGGTACAGGAGGCGGTGCTTCCCCTTCTCCCCGGCGGTTAGTGCTGAGAGTGCGGAGTGTGTGCTCCGGGCTCGGAACACACATTTATTATTAAAAAATCCAAAAAAAATCTAAAAAAATCTTTAAAAAAACCCAAAAAAATTTACAAAAATTCCGCGTCTCCCCCGCCGGAGACTTTTATTTTTTTTCTTCCTCTTTTATAAAATAACCCGGTGAAGCAGCGGAGACCGACCCGCCCGCCCGCGGCCCCGCAGCAGCTCCAAGAAGGAACCAAGAGACCGAGGCCTTCCCGCTGCCTGGACCCGACATCGCCACCCTCGCTCCCCGCCCGCAGCCGGCAGTCGGCGGCAGCGGATCGACCCAGTTCTGCGGCCGTTGAGTAGTTTTCGATTCCGGTTGATTTTTGTCCCTCTGCGCTTGCCCCCGCTCCCCTCCCCCCGGCTCCGGCCCCCGGCCCCGGCACTCGCTCTCTTCTTCTCACGGAAAGGTCGCGGCCTGTGGCCCTGCGGGCAGCCGTGCCGAGATGAACCCCAGCGCCCCCAGCTACCCCATGGCCTCGCTCTACGTGGGGGACCTCCACCCCGACGTGACCGAGGCGATGCTCTACGAGAAGTTCAGCCCGGCCGGGCCCATCCTTTCCATCCGGGTCTGCAGGGACATGATCACCCGCCGCTCCTTGGGCTACGCGTATGTGAACTTCCAGCAGCCGGCTGACGGTGAGCGCCGGGTTCAGCGTGCGGGCGGGCGGCCGAGCGGCCATGAGGCTCGGGCGGTGTCGGCGGGCGGGATAGGCCGGCGGGCCCGGGGCCCGGGGCGGGGGGCGGGAGGGCATGTCACCCCGCGACAGCCGGCGGGAAGGCGCCGGGGCTCCCGGAGCCGCCTTCCGGGAGCCTGCGGGGACCCACGCTGCCGGCAGCCGCACGCCCGGCTACTTCCTCCTTTGCTTTGCGACCATTTTCTCGGCCTCAAACGCTCTCAAACTTTAGGGTGATGACGCGCCGGGAGGGTGGGTGAGATTCGGTTCTTTCGCGGCGCTCCCGCCAGTGGCCCTGGGATTCTGGGGCGTCAAGCGCCGAGCTCCCTTCGCGACTAAGAGGTGGAGGCGCTCCCACCACCCGGAGCTCCTGCTGGCCCCCTAGCCTGGGGAGGAAGTGCGACTCGGTGCTCGAAAAATACCACGTGTTGAACCCTGTAACCTCGCAGGCCCAAGGCCTGCTCCTGCTCCTGGCCCAGTCGCCTGGGGGAGCCACCAGGCCTTAGAATAAAGTTCCGGTGACAATGTGTGGTGTGGTGGTCCTCAGGCTTGTGAGTCCACTCTCCAGAACTCATCAGTGACTGATGGAGGTAGCAATGGAATTTACCGGAGACATTGCATTGGGGGTTTCCCCTAGGTTAAGCATTTCCTAACATTAAAAGGGCAGGGGAGGAGGAAGGGATGTAGGTTCTAACCACTTTGAAGGCCAGTTTTCTCAGGCAACTTAAACCATCTTTAGTCAAATTTTATCTTAGATTCACAATACTGACAGTTTTCAAGTGTATTATTTGTTACCTTCTGAAATAGTTCCTGTCGTTTTGAGGGACTTTTCTTTATAGAATAGATTAGCCAGTTTTGGCTATAAAATGTTGCTTTAGTGTAATACCAACTAACCATTCTTATCTGTAGCACTCAAGTAGTTAAAGTTTCTCTTATTTTTAAAAGTGGCCCATGATACTTGTAAATCTTGGGAAATGACTGAGTACAAATAACGGAGATTAAATTGAGCTTGAAATTTTTGGGGGAATGCAGCTAACTGTGCTTTTATTTTGAAGTTAAACAGTTAACAAAACACAATTTTGTAAATAATATCTATGGTCTGTTGAGTTGTTAGGATTTTAGATCAATTGGCTTTGAGAAGTCAGCTTCATTCCATTTTACAGCCCAATTTTACCTTTTTCCCCCTACAGTCCAGCCGCTTGAATAGGTGTCAAATAATTGGAATATGAAGAATTCATTTTTATTTTAGTAGGAAAGCCTTAAGGGTGGAATTTAAACTTCTATTCCGTTCATTCAGTAGAACTTTGGTTACTGATCAGCTCTTGACTGTGTAAAATTCATACTGATTTTGGAAGCAAAATACTGAGTGACAACAGTCAGAAGTTGTAAAACTGCACTGCAGGTTTCCTGTCCTTTTTTGCTCTGTAAGCAGTAACTCCAGATGTCACTTTGTAACAATTCTTGTCAACTTTAGGCACGATGTGTCAATGCTTGTCAGATGGGGGTAGATAACTTTGGGGCAAGTTATCACAATCTGAGTAGTCGGAGAGAAAATGTGAATGAATTCTAGAGACCATAAAATGATAACTTGAAAGTGTTACTCTTCCTCAGCTTAACGTATTTAAATCCAAAAAACAATTTTTAAATTTCTTGGGATTCGAAAAGTTAAACTGCAGGTTGTCGAGGTTACAGTGTACAATATATATTATCAGTCTGTATCAGTAGACCAGTACCCTAAGTACTCAGAAGAAGATGGTAGGTTTCCATTTTCCATTTTATCTAGTTTCTGTATGTACAGTTTACCATCCTTCCAATTAATTACTTAAGTGGCTTTCTTGTTCTTATTTTTTAAATAAAACTTATTGCTATACTGATAGGCAGAACAGTTTCTGAAAGTGACCATTATTCAACTTCATCTGAAGAGGTGACTCATTGAAAAATAGCTGAAGCAAAGTCAGCTAAAAAAAAAAAAAAATAGGGAAGCTGAGTAGGTGTGGTCAATTGATAATGAGCTAACAGCTGATTATCGCTATATTCTAAAAGCTGGAACTTTCATTTATAAAAAACAGTTGACTGGAAAATTCATCCTGTCAATAATTTCAAATGTATATTGGCATGGAATTTGTAGAAATTGTTTCAGGCCTTAAAAAGGGACCGTTTACCTCTCTTCCAGGACTATTCTTTACTTAAGGATGTGTTATTTCATTTAGAGCCTTTAATGGTACCAGGTATACATAATAATTCAGTCCTTCATAGATCCTGAAATTGTAAATTTTGAAATTTTCTAGCACTATTCAGAAATAACTAAATCAGTTGTTAAGTAAATCAGTGATCTAAGGTGAAATTGATTTTATGTGTCAAGAAAACATTAATAGTGATTTCTGAATATTGCAGACCTAATGTTTTTAAAATTCTGTGATTATGAAACCAAGTATGTCCAACTTTAGCTTTTGAAAGCATGATTCAAATCTTGGTCTAGCCTTTCATTTTTTTATAGGGTAATAGGAAGTTGTGCCATGAATCACTTGAAATCTCCCCTTCCCCTGATAATTCAGAAACTTTCGTTTTTTAGGAAATGGACTAGTTTTCGTATAATATTGTTAGTCATTAGCAATGAAATGACCAATTTTAGCAAGTAGTTGGGAAGAAGTTAAAATATTTAAATCTGTAAACTATATTCAGCTTGTGGAAAAATCTATTGCTAATAATGTCTTTTATATTCCTCATTAAACGAATTGTATGTGAAGGAATCTGGATTTTATGTTAACTAGGAACAAAAGATCCTTTTAGATTTCATGGCAATTAAGGCAAGAGATTACTTCAAGAATTCATTAATTATTGGCAATATAGCATCTTTTTATATATGAGAATTTTTTAGGCTTCGGGTGTTTGTCTTTGCTTTCTACAACTTAGGTCACACACCAGTATGTGATACTTGAAAGGCCTAGCCATCTTGAAGCTTAAAGAGGAAGTGTAAACTGTGAGACCATGTGTCCACCCACTCCACTCACCATAGTTTATATAATGTTAAGTAGCCAGCAAAAATTTTGAACTAATATTGACTCTGAAAATGTCTTTCCTGCAGCGGAGCGTGCTTTGGACACCATGAATTTTGATGTTATAAAGGGCAAGCCAGTACGCATCATGTGGTCTCAGCGTGATCCATCACTTCGAAAAAGTGGAGTGGGCAACATATTCATTAAAAATCTGGACAAATCCATTGATAATAAAGCATTGTATGATACATTTTCTGCTTTTGGTAACATCCTTTCATGTAAGGTAAGCCAAAAAATGTCCGGTAAACATGTTTACATTGTTGAGCTACTTTTAGTTTAGTGCTTGAAATAGGAGCTATGCTGTAATGGATATCTTTATTTCACAAATACCCAGGTTAGGTGGCTAACAGATTCTCTCAACACTAACAAATGTTAAATCAATAGCAAATAAAGAAAAACAGGTATGCATTTTTCCCTAGGTGGTTTGTGATGAAAATGGTTCCAAGGGCTATGGATTTGTACACTTTGAGACGCAGGAAGCAGCTGAAAGAGCTATTGAAAAAATGAATGGAATGCTCCTAAATGATCGCAAAGTGTAAGTATAAATATCTAGAATCTTATTTTTAATAGTTCCAAATCCATTCATTTTAAAAGTTAATATATTTTGTCAGAGAAAAGTTAGATACACATAAGATAAAAGAATAAAAATATTTTAAAGATTAACAACAAAAAAGAAAAGTTAATATAGTTGTATTCAAGAGTGAAGATTAATAAGCTAATCTTGATTTTATAATTGAATTTTCTACACATTAAGTATAACATACAAATAACAGGCTTAATGTAATTGATCAACGTTCAAACCAAAAGGAAAACAGAAGATAGGTAAACAGGAATATGAAGGTTTTTCAAAATGAGTGCATTAGTGAAAAATTAGGAATCCAGACAAACCTAATATTCATAATTCCTGAGGTAGTGGTAAAATTAGTTCATTTTATAGGTGAGAAAACTCAAAATAATTGCTTTTATGTACTGTTAATACATATGATCTGGGATATACACCCAGTATGAATTCAGAGCCCACGCTTTCTGCTGATACTGCTGCAATTTATTGATGGAAGTATAAAAATAAGTAGAATTAAATCAGGTTTTCAGGGTTTATCTGTCCTGAAGTATACTTAATTTTTCTTGAAATATACTAATTTTTAAAAGTTGTAAGTTTTAAAGTTAATGTCACTGATAAAACCTTTTGCATAAGGCTGTTTCTACTAGTTCACAGATTTTTTTTCCTGCTGCTGAGATGTTTCTGCAAAAACAATTTTTCTGATTTGTCAAAGGAATGGCAAATCTTAAATCTTTTTATCCCTAATGCCGGTGGATTACACAATCTAGGCAGATTCAGCAGTAAGGTCATGATTTGTGCATGTAAATGATCTGTGCATTCTTGTTGCTGTGTAAATGGCAATGATGGTATGCACATTAGATTTGGTTCTTAAGAGAACTACATAACTCTTGAATGTGTGTTAGATGCATTAAGATCTAAGTCAATTCTATGATTAAAGAAAGACCTTGTAACACCCATACAAGTCAGTAAGAAAACCAGCAACTCCTCAATAATGAGCAATCTTTACCAAAGCTAATTCTTATAGATAGTCTTTAAATTGAGAGACATACAGCATTATAGAACTCACAAATGCTTGTCAGCAGTGCTTTAGGAAGAAAGAAAACAAGCCCAACACTGGCAGGATCCAGGAAAGAATGATATACTGCTGTTTTGATATAACCCTTTTGGAAATTTATAACTGTCCTAAGCACAAACACACAAAGTGCCTTTCATAAAGTTACAGCTTTACTGCAGTGTGCCTTTATTCCCAGCTACTGGTAAGCTGAGGCAGGATGCTTGTGCCAAGGCTCTAGTGGGCTGTGAATAGCTGTTAAACTCCAGCCAGGGCAAAATAGCAAGAGCATGTCTCTTAAAAAGTTGCAGCATTATTAACAAAGCAGAAAGTGATGCTTACAATAAAATAAGCTCTCATTGAGAATATTTATGAAACTAACAGCATGGTGAAGATCAACCATATTTTGTGGGGCAAAAAGTAAATTATTTTTATTTTATTTTTTAGTTCCAAAGCTAGTTTAGAGATAAGGAGATTTAGATGATTAGGATGAGATTATGGAAGATGGTTTTTCCTTCTCCTTTGCTGCTTATTAAATTATGCTGTGACACGTGCTACTTTTTTTTCCTTCGGTGATCCTTTTTTTTTTTTGTTTGTTTGTTTGTTTGTTTGTTTGTTTTATTTAAGACGTGGTCTCGTTCTGTTGCCCAGGCTGGAGTGCAGTGGTGCAATCTCAGCTTACTGCAATCCTCCGCCTCCTGGGTTTAAGCGATTCTCATGCTTTAGCCTCCCAAGTAGCTGGGATTACAGGCATGTACCCCTACACCCAGCTAATTTTTGTATTTTTAGTAGAGATGGAGTTTCACCATGTTGGCCAGGCTGATCTCGAATTCCGGGCCTCCAGTGATTGTCCCACCTTGGCCTCCTAAAGTGTTTGGATTACAGGTGTGAACCACTGTTCCTGGCCTAGTGATACTTGTTCTGAATTACTAATAAAAGGAAAAATTGAGTTTTAGTGTCATTTTGTTGAAAATGTACACTTAAGCGGGCTGTTCTATGTTAGAGTAAAGGATTGGGAAGTTTAAATTTTTATTCTAGGAGATGGCAGAGAAAGCATAAGGGCCACTTCGAAATGACAGCAGTGAAAGGTTTTTAATTTGATAGAGGTCTTTTTATTGGCATGGTACACATACATTTCCACTCATTTATATTGATGGGTGTCATCCCTTTAACCTTAGGTTAGCTAGAGAAGAGAGTAATATATATTAAAAGAAATGTTTCTTTTTTTGTGATTATAGTTAAGAGGTTTATATATGTCATGGTGTCATATCTTAAATTATAGCCCTATTTCTATTTTGTAGTGCGCTTTTTATTAGAGATTCTGAATATTCTCAGCAACAATAAGAAAACCAACCTAGAGGCTTAATTGAGCTGAACATCATAGAATAGAATCTAATTTTATAGTCCCTGTATATTTTACTAGATTTGTTGGACGATTTAAGTCTCGTAAAGAAAGAGAAGCTGAACTTGGAGCTAGGGCAAAAGAGTTCACCAATGTTTACATCAAGAATTTTGGAGAAGACATGGATGATGAGCGCCTTAAGGATCTCTTTGGCAAGTTTGGTAATGTGTCTGAATTAAATTTCTACACACACAGTTTGAATTATCAATGTTAATTTTAGCTAGTACTTTATATTTAAAAAGTCAATAAAATTAGACTTAAATGGTACTTTAAAAATATTTGTGGTTATTTGAATTAAGCTACTGGCTATCTATTATACTACAAAGTAGTATAATGCAAATAAATAGAATTCTATCCATGTTAAAGGTTAATAGCATTAGATTAGCACAATTAGGTATGACCGACTAGTTCAGATTTTTAAATATTTAACTACATCTGTAGTTAAATATTTAAAAATCTGAACTAGTCGGTCATACCTTATTGTGCTATGTGTGTATATATATATGTGTGTACATATATACACACGTATATATATGCATGCAATTAGAAACCCCTTGCCATCAGAGGCATACATTTGACACAGCCAGCCTATGGTGGAATGCAGTCTCATAGGACAGTAAAGCTGGCGAGTCTAAGTAACATCGTGTTTGTGCAGTTTGAAACAATGACTTTCAGAGATGAAGCAAAGAATCCAGATTTTTCAGTGATACTGCCTTGGGATTTAAAATACTTATTTCCTGCATTGAAAAATAACTTCATAAAACTTGAAACTAATGAAACACAAACCAGTCTTAGTTTAGGTAGGGGTGTAACAGATTTAAAAAATTTTAAATGTACATGCAGATGTTTTGCTTGACCCCACCCTTTGCATTTTTTGTTGAACTTAGAGGTGGCTTGCTTTTTTTAGTATGTCAAATAATAAAATAGGAAATCTAATACATTACTTATTTTTTTTGACAAGACCGCCCCGTCACCCAGGCTGGAGTGCAGTGTTGCCATCTTCACTCACTGTAACCTCTGCCTCCTGGGCTCAAATGATTTTCCTACTTCCACCTCAAGTAGCTGGGATTACAGGCGTGTGCCACCTTGCCTGGATAATTTTTATATTTTTAGTAGACACAGGGTTTCACCATGATGGCCAGGCTAGTCTCGAACTCCTGACCTCAAGTGATCCACCTGCCTTGGCCTCCCAAGGTGCTGGGATTACAGATGTGAGCCACTGCACCCAGCCAGGAAATCTAATACCTTCATGTCATGCTAGCATGCCACATTGAGCCCTCCACTACTTAAGCAAAAAAATACCATTTTGCTCAAAGATAATATAAAATGTAGAAGGTGATATCATGTTTCACATCTCACCCCAAATTGTCTTTAGCTACTGCCTTTTATATCAGCTGTTGTGCTTCTTAACATCTTTTAATTAGAAGCTATTTTCTGGGCTGGGTGCAGTAATCTCAGCACTTTGGGAGGCCAAGGTGGGCGGATCACCTGAGGTCAGGAGTTCACTACCAGCCTGGCCATGATGGTGAAACTCCGTCTTTTTAAAAAAAAAAAAAAAAAGCTATTTCTAAAAGTTGATGTTGAATACCTACCCCATGAATAATGCTATATAAGTTGACCACAAATATGTAAATATATCAGATATTTTCTTGACTTTGGCCTCAGAAGAGAGGCACATTCAGAAGAAAATCTGACTTTGCCCATACACCTTCTAAATTTCTGTAATTGAATGTGATTTTTAACCTTTTCTGCCCCACTTGCCTGAGATACCGCTTGCCTCAGTTACCTGTCTCTCACTTTAGAGGGAGTTGGGGGAAAACATGTCTTCAGAAATAAATGCTTCTTCCTCCAGGTAATTCACCTGTGTCTTTTTTTTTTTTTTTAAATTCTTTTCCTTCTGTCTTTCAAATTCCTAAATCACCTGTCTTACCAAAGAGTCCAACCATGTATTCCCTCCACTCCCTATTGAAGGTGGTCCAAAGCTTAATAAATGCTTGTTTCTTAATATAAAGAAAATCAAATTGGTCTGGCACAGTGACTCATACCTGTAACCCCAGCGTTTAGGGAGGTGAAGGAAGGAAGATCACTTGACGCCACAAGTTTGAGATCAGCTTGGGCAACATAGCAAGATCCTATCTCTACAAAGAATAAATTAGCCAGGCAAGGTGGTATGTTGGCCTTTAGTCCCAGCTACTTGGGAAGTTGAGGCAGGAAGATCACTTGAGCCCAGGAATTGAGGTTAAAGTGAGCTATTCATTATGCCACTACATTCTAGTCTGGGCAATGGAATGAGATAGTATCTTTAGAGAAGAAAAGGGGAGAAAGGATTCTTACTTCAATAGGAGGAGGAATCCAGGGGAGAGAAGAAGGTATTAACTTTCTTAATAATAAAGAATCTTCAAGTAGAAAAGTACATCTACCTGGGGCATAGAAGGCTGGGAGGGAGGAATCAATTTACGGAGTTTTGAAATTTTTTTATCTCATTTTTTAAATGACTTTGTTTTTGTATGTTGAGATTTGAAATGTATAACGTAAATGTTATAAGGAATATCATTGATTTACTTAAAACAATTTTTTAGGGCCTGCTTTAAGTGTGAAAGTAATGACTGATGAAAGTGGAAAATCCAAAGGATTTGGATTTGTAAGCTTTGAAAGGCATGAAGATGCACAGAAAGTAAGTGGTTTGTATTCAGGAGGAAGGAGGTACAAATTTGAGTTGTTCTTGTGTTGAAGTTAATGTACATACTATTTTACATGTTTTTATATTTTCAGTTATTTGCATTTTATGCATTAGCTTTGAGAGCATAAATTGGTAGCTTATATTGGCCCAAAACCTTGAGGTTTTGGAACAGCTTTTGTGACTTAACAAATTCATCTTAACTGTTAATGAACTTTTAATGAAAAGTTTTTGTGATTTTTTTTGTTTGTTTGTTTTTGGAAGGCTGTGGATGAGATGAATGGAAAGGAGCTCAATGGAAAACAAATTTATGTTGGTCGAGCTCAGAAAAAGGTGGAACGGCAGACGGAACTTAAACGCAAATTTGAACAGATGAAGCAAGATAGGATCACCAGATACCAGGTTCATTTTTAATTGAACAAGCAAAATAAGACAGGGATGAGGAATCCTATTTTACGTTCATTTCAGTTACTGCCAGGTAACTGGAGGGTTTGAGAGGGGATAGGAGAAGAAACATGGGATAAAATAATAGGAGATATGCTTAGGTACAACCATGGTTTTCTTTTTCTATAATTTTCTTTTCTTCTTTTTAGGGTGTTAATCTTTATGTGAAAAATCTTGATGATGGTATTGATGATGAACGTCTCCGTAAAGAGTTTTCTCCATTTGGTACAATCACTAGTGCAAAGGTAAGAGAGCAATATGGTGTATTTTTTTGAGATTCATGCATGTGGATATATGTATATAAAAATTCATACATGTGGATATATGTATAAAATTTTGCATTTTAATACAGCCACTAGAGAGGTGTTTGCTTCATTACTTCTAAAACTTACATTCACATTTGAAGTAGTTGTGGCCTAATGGTTAACTTGTAAATGGTAAGTTCTGAACCCTTTGCTAGGGAAGGGTATGTTTGACCATTGTTACTCTCACATGATTTGCTCTATTCCAACAACTAGTTACTTTACTGGTTAAAGAAAGCAATTTATTAATCGTTACTATAGTTCTGATCTGTTCTTTTTTACAATTCATTCTAAATAGTCAAACCCCAGTTCCTTCTCCTGCCCCCTAGCAGTAAGGATAGAGATCATATTTCCTTTTACTTGAAGTCAGAGATTTAAGAAACAAACAGTAGTATTCTGGTACAGATTCTGAAATGTTGATTTAAGAACTTCTGGATGTTTTTCTCTAGTGTCTGTGGGCCAAGAGTTACTCTGTATGTGAAGCTTTGTGCATGTGTAATTTTGCTGGGGTGGGAGAATAGTACATAGGAAAAATGACAACTCAGCTGGAATGACGCTGTGGCTGGCCTTTCTAGTCAGCTTTTCCTGGCAAGTCCAAGGAAGCTTCTGTGAGAGTGAGGAAGTGTTAGAGGAAAGGTGGATTAGTACAAGTAAAATTCAAGTGCCATGGTTGTCTTGTGTTTCAGACTGCTTTTGTACGAGTACTTGCAGTATGGTTAAATTTATTCCTGAAAGTTTTCATCTTCAGTGTGTTCCCTGAAAGTTATTTTAGTGTTGTGTATCAGTTTATTTTGAATGTATGAAGCATGCGTGTTTTTCTGTTTCTTGAGATAGGATCTCACTATGTTGCCCAGGTTGGAGTGCAGTGGCATGGCACAATCACAGCTCACTGCAGCCTCAGCCTCTTCTGGGCTTAAGCCAAGCCCGTCCAACCCACTGCTTGCAGGTCACATGCGGCCCAAGACTGCTTTTAATGCAGCCCAACACAGTCTTGATCTTATGAAGAGTTTTTTTTTTTTTTTTTTTTTTGGAGATGGACTCTGGCTCTGTCACCTGGGCTGAATACAGTGACGCGATCTCGCCTCACTGCAACCTTCTCCTCTGGAGTTCAAGTGATTCTCCCGCCTCAGCTTTCCAGCTGGGATTGCAGATGCCCTCCACTATGCCTAGCTAATTTTTTGTATTTTTAGTAGAGAAGGGGTTTCATCATGTTGACCGTGCTGGTCTTGGAACTCCTGACTTTGTGATTTGCCCATCTCACCCTCCCAAAGTGCTGGCATTATAGACGTGAGCCACTGCACCCTGCCAATTTTACATTTTTTAAGCTGATCAGCTTTATTGTTAGTGTATTTTGTGTGCGGCCCACCATAATGATTCTTCAGTGTGGCCCAGGGAATCCAAAAGGTTGGCCACCCCTGGTAAGCGATCCTCCCACCTCAGGGACTGGCCTAGCCCAGCAAATTCTTTTAAGTTTTTTGTGGAGACAAGGTCTCCCTATGTTATGGTCTCAAGTGATCGTCTGGCCAGCATGATTTTCAAATGAGAATCTTTTATTAAGTCTTTTTAAAAGTTTTATTTAGAGACAGGTTATGAGACTGACTAATTTTTGTATTTTTGGTAGAGACAGGGTTTCACCATTTTCCCCAGGCTGATCTCAAACTTGTGGCTTCAAGTGATCTCCTGGGTTCAAGTGATCCACCTGCCTTAGGCTCCCAAAGTGCCAGGATTATAGGCATGAGCCACTGGGCCCAGCCTATTAAGTTTTTTTGAAAGTCCTTTGTGGATTACATCACTCACTGTTTTCAGGGAGGAGAAAAAGTTGGCAAGAACTTATTCTGGAGGAGGAGGTCATTATGTTAATTTAATAATGCTTGCTGAAAAAAACATTTATCAATTAAGACAAGGGTATAAATTGAAAAGTGACTGCTCCATTCTTCATTTTCGGTCTGCAGAGGGAGTTGGGTTTGGGTATCCTGAATTTTCCATACTGTTCAAACACAAAACAGATTTTAGAAAACGAGGTCATACTGCACATATTCTGATTGCCTTTTCACTTAAAGTCAGATCTAGATATGTATTTATTTCTGGTAGTTTTTAAATCAAGGGCTGAATATTCATGATGTATACACATACCCCCACCATAATTTTACTGTACCTGTATCGAAACATTTGGGTTGCTTTGCATATTTATTTCCAGTGTTAAAATTTATTGCTGCAATGCGTCTTGCATCTAAATTTCTAGAACTGGAATTCCTGTCTAGTGGTAATGTGTATTCAAAATTGAGACAACCAAATTGTCCAAAATGGATGAACAAATTTCTGCTGGTCTAAACAGATTTGTCAGTTAGGTAGAAACTAGTATTTCTTCTCTCCAAATGTGGACTTTTAAAAAAAATTTAGTGATACACTTTCATGTGTTTACTAGTTTCACCTTTTCTTTGTGTATTTTTGTATTTTTATATTGGGTTTGTCTGT